CCGGGATCTTGGGCATGCACGCACACGCGCCCGGCGTGAGTTTTAAGCCACCGGGTCCGGGACACGAACCGCGGTCGACTACGTGGGAGTCCAGCGACATAGCCATTACGCTAACTGCTGGTTCCCAGAGATTCTCTCAATGTTAATGGGATATTTCTGGGTAGCAGGATTATGGCTGATTTTTCTTCCTTTTGTTGCTTTTTTCTAAGTTTTCTAAAATGAACTTGTATTACTACGATTTAAGAAAATAAAACCAGAATTATTACTATTAAAAACAACAAGTCTGGGGATCAGCAGTTGGCATAATGGCTATGTCGCTGGACTCCCACATAGCCAACTGCAGTTCGAGTCCCAGACCTGGTGGCTTAAACTCATGCCGGGCGCGTGTGTGTGCGTGCCCAGAATCCCGAGAGGAGAATGGAGGAGAAGGGATTGTGGCGTGGCCATCCCCCCTGGGGGTGATTTCTTGCTTTCTGTTTCTCTGTCTCTCTCTTGTCTTTCTGGCGAGCACACGCGACCTATAGCAAAATCCTCTTTAAAAAAAAAAAAAAAAACAAGTCTGGTACCATGCATGTGCTCAGGGCGGGGTCTGTAAGGAGGGACAGGTTATTCAAGAAGCTGACAGTGCCGTGTTCCCTGAAAGTCCTTTGGACAAGTTGGAGTGATCCTCAGGGGGCTGGGTTAGGCGGTTCTATGCTTGACTCCTCAAAGTCCTTCCAATATCCAACCCTTGGATTCTGAATCTCAGACTCAAAATTAAATGGATGCAAGAAATCCTCCCATGTCCAGAGGGTCTCTCCTGGGAATCACGGGTCTGAAGAGGGGGAGAAACTTACTATCTCAGAACCAGCAGATGGCATTGCTAGATTCCCACCTAGTCAACCATGGTTCAAGTCCGAGATCCAACAGCTTAAAACGCATGCCAGGCGCATGTGTGTGTGTGTGCCTGCCGCAAATCGCAAGGAGCAAATGGAGGAAAAGAGATTGCTTTGTGGCTGTCCACCCTAGAGGATGATTTCTCACTTTCTGTCTCTCTGTCTCTGCCTGTCTCTGGTGAGCACGCGTGCCCTTACAACAAAAATCTCTCTTAAAACAAACAAGAACAAAAGCAAAACCAACTTACTGTCTCGTGGAAAGTGGTCCTCTGGAAGGCCCAGGTGAAGCTCATGGTTGCATTCTCCCCAATGGTGTAGGTATAGGACTGTTTGCCTTTGGAGCCTTTCCACGTCTCCACGGGGGTGTTGGTCCTAGAATTCACACCCTGCGCCCGGGACAGATGGGTGAAGTAAGAAGGCACGATGACTGGAGGGGTGCCCACACTGCTGCCATGCCGGGGACCACCGCGGTTGGTCAACCCCATGTTAAAATGTGAATCCCTGATGGTCAGAGTGGGGCATCAGTTTTGTTGACACAGCAATATGGCATTTGGGACCAACCCTCCCCAGGAAACCCCAAAGTGGGCAAAGAAAGGAAACATACCACCATGAAGTAGAGCTCACAGTTCACGGAACAGATGGTCTCAAAGACAAATGTGATTCTGGAGACCTCTTTATTCTCCGTGTCTGCCATCAGCGACTGCGGAGGTCTGTGGGGTAGAAACGAGGCCAGGCAGTGCTTACTGAACAGCCCGATGGCAACAAGGGTCTGTGGGGGACAGGACTGGGTTCTGAGAATGTCGGAAAGGGCATGGACTGAGTCCAATTTTGCAACTCTACCTATGCCACCTGATCTAGCCAAACCCTAGTCTCCTCCTCTGGCAAATGGAGACGCCAATATCTTTCTTATCTACTTCTCATCGTTCTGGTGCGGTCCCAAGGCACAACAGATGTGGAAGCACTTGGTAAGATGCTAGAGAGCTCACCAGTCCTGTGGTCTGCATGTCAGCGGAGCCGCTGAACCTCCCTAAGCCCACCCAGTCAGAATCAGCATGTGAAACTGACTACGGGCGTTTCATATGCACGTGAAACTTTGAGAAGCACAATTATTACAAGATGCACACTGTCTGCATTTACTTGGCAGTTCATTTTCTAGCATAATGTCAGTTTTGCCTTTCTGGGTTAAGTTTGCAGAACTTGCAGCTGTCTTCAGGAAAGATCTCAGGCTGGTCTTACCTTTGGAAAGAGAGAGCCCCTCCCACATGGGTAGGGTGGGGCTGAGGAAGCGCTTTACCATGGTAATCAGATTTGCAAGTTGAAATGTTTGGAATGTCACACCAAAGTGTAAAACGTTTGCTCACCTTGCAGATGCAGGATATATCTGGTCAGCTCTGAGTGATGTGGGCTAAGGGAAGGGAAACCTTTTGAGCAACTGCTATAAGCTGAGCACATCCTGGGGTGGAGGGGGAGTGGGGACCACAAAGGAGAGGATGCAGAAGTCAAGTTGCCAGTAGGGAAGCCCATGCAGTGGACCCCCCTCATCTAAAGTGTGTATGGAGAGAAGAATTCACTTTGGCTTTGGAAATCCATTAGTCATTTGCCTGAATTCTGAGGCCCTCAGCTCACAGCTCTTCTCCACACAGTTGTGCTAACCATGGGCTGGAAGAACCTTCTCACCCTGAGTTAGGCCTAAACTATAGACTGGTCTCAGAGGAGCCCAAAGCTTGTAGAAGTGACTTGACTTCTCTAATTCACAAAGCCGGTGGGGCGGGTTGTGCAAAGCTCGAGTACCCTTTCTTTCTTTCTCTCTCTTTCTTTCTTTCTTTCTCTCTCTCTCTTTCTTTCTTTCTCTCTTTCTTTTGTGTGTGTATGAAGCAAACAAATTGCTTGTTGTCCTGGGTTTTCTTGGATATGGAGACAAATAGAACAAAAGAATAGTTCTTTCTAATCTTCTTGTCCCAAATAAAGAACTGTCTGTGAAGACTTCTGGCCCTATTTCTTTTCTATTCTTTTTTTAAAAAAAAAAAATATATATATATATATTTATTTTATTGATTATTATTATTATTTTCACATGAGTTTACCAGAGAGCGAAGGAGAGTGAGAAAGCAAACCACCAGGTCCTAGACTTGAACCACAGTTGGTCATATGGAAATTCCAGTGCCTCAACCACCATGCCACCTGTGGTTCCCTGGCCCTACTTGTTTGTTTGTCCTTGTGTTTGTTTTTCTCTGATGTTATCTGATGGCATGAGGAGGAAGAACTGGAGTAGCATGGAACCAATGGGTGAGAGAAGCTAGAAGGGCTGAGAGACGAGGCGGTGACTAAGAAGATGCCTTAGATACAGGCTCACTTGCCGGTTGGTAACTGTGCTGCCCTCTGTCCTGAACCGTACTTAACACAGAATGAAATCCAGCTCCGGAAGCCCTCTCCTCATTACATCCCCAACGGCCTGCGGCCACGGTGATCCGGGCTCCCCTCAGCTTTGTGTTCCTCACCTAAATCCTGGCACGACCAGAGTGAGAATCATGAAGTCATTGTCTGAGGCTCCAACAGCTGTGTAAATGTGATCGCCAGCCACCTCCCAGCCTGCAAGAGGAGAGGGGAGAGTTAATGCCCTCTGCTCTCAGGTGCAGGGCAACCGAGTGCCTAGAAGACATTCTGGGAGGGAGAGATGGCACCATCCTTAGGGGCACCTGGAACCACCACCCACCACACACTGTTACTCATCCTGCTACTTTGTTCAAAGACCCTGAAGCTCTCAGAGCAAACCCTCTGGGGTATGCACGTGTTGTTTATATCTCTCTGATCATAAATTTGTCAGAATATGCGTCTATAATGGGACCAGCAGATGGCATAGTGGTTACGTCACTGGACTCCCACATGACTGACCATGGTTCGAATCCTGGACCCAGTGGCTTCAAAAATCATGCTGGGCATATGTGCGTGTATGCCAAGATCCCAGGTGGAGAATGGAGGAGAAGGGATTGTGATGTGGCCATCCCCCCTGGGGGGTGATTTCTCACTTTCCCTCTCACTGTGTCTGTCTGCCTGTCTGTCTCTCTCTGGCAAGCACACACATCCTAAGGCAAAAACTTCTTAAAAAGAAAAAGGAAAAGAAAAAAAGAATATACATTCATGAGAAGTAGAACTTTCAGGAGAAGGTACGACCTGGCTAGCATATCTTTCTTAGACCTCACGGTCATATGGAGATGCGAAGCTGCAGGAATTCCTGTGACGAGCTGGGAGCTGACGGCTCCTGGTAAGGGGAGAAGCAATTACCTGACATGCCCTTGTACTCAAAGTTGATCCCACTGAGGACGGTCGTTTCCATGTTTGCAGGCAGCGTGTTCCACCATTTGTATTCAAACCCCACGGCAGGTTCAGTCCCAGCTGGGCAGTGGGCACAGTCTGGGGGAAACACAAGACCCAGGCATTCAGCCGGAAGCCTGCAGTCACCCTGACAGGAGCTGCTGCCACGCAGAAAAGGGGGCAACAGGAGCTGGCAGCCGCACAAGGGGCTGCTGAACACAACTGCACAAAGTTCTCTCAAGCTGAGTGAAGAGCACTCTAACAACGTATTGAAGAAACTCAGCATGTGAACACCGGCCCTTCGTTCCAATAGTCCAGCCATCCTAATTTCCCACCAACATTTTCATGTCAAAACTTAAATGTACTGGGCCAGCAATTGGCATAATGGCTGTGTCACTGGACTCCCATGTAGTTGACCATGGCTCGAGCCCCGGACCCGGGGGCTTAAACTCACGCTGGGCGCATGTGCGTGCGTGCCCAATATCCCGAGAGGAGAATGGAGGAGAACAGATTGCGGTGTGGCCATCACCCCGTGGGGGGGTGATTTCTCGCTTTCAGTCTCTCTGTCTTTCTGGTGAGTGCATGTGTCCTATAGCAAAAACCTCTCCAAAACAAAAACAAAAACAAAAATAAAAACAAAAACCTTAAATATACCTTCTAGTCTGATACACGGTGCTTCTATTATTGTCACACTATTATCATTAGAGACATCCACATTAATAGGTACACACATTAATGTTTGTTTCTGCCGCATGGTTTATAGGTTCTGATCATGCCAAGCTGGTCACCCCTGTCCCCCGCTCCTTCGCCACACCTGCTAGTTAGCATCCCTGTCACACGCTGTGAGGACTGGGTGCCTTCAGGCCTGAGTCATGTTCTTCCTTGGAATGAGGAGGAAAGAAGGTGGTCCTCAACTCTGACTTCCAGGCAGGGCCAGCCCTGGCCTCTCCCAAGCTCAGTCCTCAAATGTGGCCTAGCTCTTCTTTCCTCCCTTGAAGGGCAGAGCCCACATTCCTTTAGTCACTGAGTACCCCCTGCCCCAACCCCCACCCCCACCACCGCCACATGGTCAATATGGGGATGGATGTGACCGGAGCAGGGCAGGAGGAGGTTACCGGAGGCGTTGGAG